TGACTCCAAGCATAAAACGTGAGGAGCATGCTTGTAAAAGCACTACACTGATTATTTCCAGGACATTTATGCAGGAACTCTGTGTGCAGTCATGGAAAAGTCTATCATAATGTGTGCTTTTTTGTAGAAGTCATTTGAGAGAAGAGGGATTAACTATTCTTTCCTTCTTCCCACTCCAGAGTCTTTCCCCTTCTTCTCTTCCTTTCCCAGGCTCTGACTAGATGCCTCAAATAAGCATTCCAGAGCTGTCAAGTTTCATGCAAAACCATGTAACATCTTCTGTAAATATTTAATGATCCAGTTTACGTGTTTCTGAAATGACTTGGAAACTTTACCTTGTGGTTAATTCATTTCCTGAAGTAATGCTGAAGATAAGGCAAAGAGCGTTGTACAGTCCCTTGGTTACTCTCCTGCCTGAAGCTGTGACAGTAAAAAGGTAGTTGTTTGGGTTAAGGCAGTGTAGGGATGTGGGTAAAGGGCCAAAGTTTGGTGTGGTAGATTTGGGGATTTTTCGGGGTGAGCTCAGACATGTTTTATAGACTGCTAAGTTAGCAGGGAAAAAGCTTGCATGGCACTTGTGGAGAAGGTGACCTTAAGGCTTAAGTGTGGTTATGAGGGTTTTAATGAACTCTTACAATAAAGGGAAGGAAGACTGGAATCTGTCAGTATCTGAGTACCAAAGGTGAACCTGAAGCATGACAGGGAAGCAGAGAGCTGGGATGTCTCCAGATGTTATACTGTTAGTCTGGAGGTTGAGAGCAGTTCTGAAGTCTGAAGGAATTAGTGAGGATTTTTCCCTTAATTTTCTTTTTGTGCTGCCCAGGCTACCTGCTGCTGCTACTGCCCCCCTTCTGCTTGCTTTTGATTGTTCTTTCTTTCTCTCTGATTCAAGATGAAGTACAGCCAGAGGGAAGGGAAGTGTGCTGTTGGGGAAGGTGAGCTGTGTAGTAGTGCATATTTGCTGGTATAGAGAATGGGTTGTTGCCTTCATCCAAGCTGGAATACACCTGTGTGACTTGGCTGTGACCAGCTGAGACATGAACAGATATATGAGAACAGTGGAATGTACAAGTATCACTTCTCTATTCTAAGCTTTGAATTTAGAAATGAAGGGCATCTCCTCTGTCCTGCTGGGGAAAGAGAAACTGCAGTGAAAGAGTGGGAGTCTGCTGGGACTGTTCCCAATATGATTGCATATACTTCTGCCTGGGAGGCTGTATTACAGGCAGCAGTTAGTGTGGAAACTGAACAATGCACAGTCAACCTCAGTTTAACCTTTCCTATTTCCAGCTGTAGTTTTGGGGTAGAAGCTCTCATGTAATATTTCTGCTTAGAGGCTTTTGACATCTAACCTCTTGTATACCATGTTAGAATGTGTCCTTAATTTTCTTAACTTAGCCCTTTCCTCAGACTTTAAAAGGACAAGATTCATTAGGTGGGGAGGATCTTTGAGAGAATGTGACTGCAGTAAGGCCAGGTAAACAAGTTAATGAAAGTGGATATCTCTAGTATCACTTGCAGTTCATTTTCAACAGTGAATGCAAGCAATACATAACATTAGGACACGGGAAGGTGCTTCCTATATTCCTGCTGCTCTGAACTGTGTAATTATTTCTGTGTAATACGTATCTCAGAGATGACCCAGGTTAATGGTGTCAGAGAGGGCCATTCCTCTTGTATCTTCTGCTCCTGCACCCTCTCCAAGTGCATTGGAGAGGTGGCAGGTGAAAGAAAGTTCAGTCATTCAACTTTGAAAACCGGTGGTTAGAACTTGTGTTATAGAGAAAGCAAATCTGAATTCAGGCCAAAAGAGAGTTGATATTCTTTGGATGGTGGATACAGAACAGACATCCATTCCTTTCTTGGCTACCTGCACAGTATTTCACATTGTTAACAATAAGAAGAGCTGCTGGTTTAGATGAAGTGGAGACAGAAGAATGCACTGAAGTGGCAGAAAACCTTCCTGTCTGACTAATAGTGGAAAATTTTACCTTTTCCTAGTTTTTTTTTTCCACTTGACAAGTCCTACAGGAAAATTCTATGTAAGAATTAAAAGCAGTGTGGATCTAGTTGTTGAACCACTCAGCCCACACACACTTTCTCAGTGATGCCTGTTAAGTCTGTTGGGTCTCTGCATTGCAAGGTCTATGGAGTAGTCCAGAACTTGGACAGGAACAGATCACAGTGGGGGAAAATGACAGTTCCTTGAAGCAGAGTAAGAAGAGATGGTACTAGTAAGCAGAAGATAGTGTTTAGATGGTTTTCCCATGATAAAATAGTCTTTTTTGGCTGAAGATGGGCCTCCACGTGTAGACAGTCCAACCTCTGGTTTAGGAGTACTCTTGGATTCCTGTCTGATTGCAGGCTCCCACATAGCAGCATCCACGAGTAATGCTTTGGCTCACAAACAGTCCTATCCTGGCAGATGGTGATCTGGACTCACGTACTTGTGCCTTCATCACTCTTTGGCTGGGTCATAGCAATATGAGACACCTGGGCATGAAGCCTTTGGTGTTTAGAAAAATTGTTCATGCAAAATATTGCAGCATATGCTTGTGGTAATTCTGTTGCTAGGAAAACATGAGGCTTGTCCTTTATTTTCTGTCCCTGCTTAGCATATAGTGTTTGAATTGCTTTTAGGATCTTGGCCCTTATCTTTTAAGTAACATATATTCTATTCTTAGTAGTGGCCCAGAATGAAATTGGAAAAGAGCATTGCCCTTAAATGAAGTCATCTTCTAAAAGATTATAAGATTCCTCAAGAGTTAATTCTAATTTCAAGTTAACACCTAGAAAATTTTACAAGCATTCCTTTTCTATTTTTCACTGTTACTGTAAGGCCTTTTCCTATGACCTTGCTATCTCTAAAATAATGGTAAATTTCTGCTGAAGCAAGACATTCTGTAGCCTGCAAATCTCTTGTCCTTCCTGGAGACAAGTGTGGTGAATGAAGAGCATACAGTTACTACAGTGGAAGAAAGATCCAGTAAAGTATACTCTGAAAAGCTGTAGAACTGTAGAGTACTGAAAGTGATTGTGACTGGTATTTCAGAGGTAGTAACACTCTTCTGTCTCAAGCAAGTGCAAAACACAAAAGTGTAAGGAGTATGGGCTATGTGCTAGCATTGTATTCTGATCTGTTACTATTCTGACACCCAGAGGCTATTGATAGAAGCTCTAGAAATAGCTTGGATTTTCCATTTGCAGGCTTGCACTTAGCATGAGGCTGGTCAAACCAGCTCTGGGTGAATGTATTAATAAGCATTGCGTTATGTTATTTAAAGCTTGGGCTTTTTTGATAGTAGATATGAGTAATTAAATGTTCTGCCCATGATGTCCTTCAAGATGATAGCATCCTAGTAAAAGAGAAAGCTTAGGTACTGGGAGCTCTGAAACACAGTGAAATACTTCTGAATAGACAGTCCCCTTGGAAATGTAAAATTCTGAGCATGGAGCTCAGACCACCTAATAATTAAGGATGGCCTCTGTAGAAGGCAGCTAATGCAAGCATTTGAAGGTACAGAAATACTGTTGTTTAGAATGTTGTCTGTGTCTGCCAGGGGTTCCTATTCTCATATTTGAGGATGAAAAATTGAAAGCATAAGCTGAGAAGCATGATTAAACTAATTGCCCTCTGCTTGGAAGTACCTAGGAGGACTTGAAATGGCTCTCTGATTGTGCTCAGTATCTTCCAGGATCTGGCTGAAAGTATATTGCAACAAATACTTCTAGTATGCTTTCAGTAAATGATTGTTAAGATGGAGATGATGAAATCATAAATAAGAACAAAATATATGACAGGGCTTTTGTAATTCTTTTCAAAATAGATGTGCTAAATCCAGGAAATTTACAGTTAAACTGAAAAGAAATTAAAATATTTTAAGCTGTGGAAATATGTGGAAAGGGGATCCAAACTTCCAATTACTTTTGTTGCCAGCTGCTCTGACTTCATATGAAGTTAAAGCTGAGAAAAATATAGCACAAAATATTTTTCACTCTTTTAACCTTGCCACTTAAAATTATTTATATCATGGGTTGTTTGGGTTTTTTTTTTTTCCCCTGTTTCCACATGTGTATTTAAGGATACATTTAAGCATTTTCATAGATTTGCTGGTATAGTTCTTAAGGCAACAGGTATTTCTCAAAATGGCTACCAAGGGAGGGCAGTAAGTGGCGTTGTTTTAACTGAGAATTAATGTCTTTGTTTTTTTGGCAGTTCTTATGGGAAATAATTGGGGAAGGATGAAGAGAGATGACCATTAATGAAAAAAATTGCAGATGCATTCTTTTCTGAATATTATTTCATTGCAAAAGCAGATCATCCAACTTTCTCTCCCTCTTCCATTTTTCCTGAATCCTGTCTCCTTTTTCTTGTATTGAGGCGTCCCCCATACTTACTCCCCTTTTTATGCAGCTAATCCTGCTCTCCTTGGTACATACTTTTCCTCTTGGTGGAGCTTCTTTGGATAGCATGTGTTTGACTCTCCCCTTACCTTTTCTTACTCCCCTTATCTCTTTCAAGACATTGACACTTTAAGCTCTTTTTTGAACTGGAACGTGCTTGCTGTTACGAGCTATGGTGATTATCAGTGCCTCATACTGGTCATTCTACCTACCAGATGCTCTGGATTCTGCCCTTCATTTTTTAAAATTTATTTTTCTCCAAAGTCTGAGGCCTAAAATATGTATTGAAGCAGGATTACATGTAATGTAAGAAAATTATTGCAGTTGGGCTAGATTACTATTGTAGTTCCTTTCCAACTGCAACTATTCTATTACATTATATTCACATTCTATTACATTATTTTTTACCCGATGTGTCCTTCGAGGATAAACTGTATTATGCATTTGATGAAGTCTCATTTACATGCATTCTCTCCCTAGGTGTTGCTGTTGAGTGGTCTGTGTGGTAGTCTGTGATTTGCAGTGACATACTTGCTGTATCTGGCAAGAATGCCACTTGTTCAAGAAATACTGTGAATTTTTATTCCTCTTTACAGATTTGCAACAGTGAGGTATGACCAGGCATCCAAGAACATCAAAAACCAGTTCATGCATCTGACCAACTACAGTGTCAACAAGAAGAGTGGAGATTATGTCAGGTAATTGGATGGAAAATGGAACTTGTTCTTTAGAGGTTGGGTCAGTTTACCTAAATTGGTCTAATGTTGATCCACAGAGGTAGGCCAGTGGTGTCAGCCTCCCTCTTTCATTTATTTTTAGCTGTGATGATCCTGAAGTAGAGGATTATGGAAACAAGTGGAGCATGAGTGCAATGCTGAGGTACTTAAAACAAGAGGGGAGAGATACTGCAGGTCAGTAAAAATCTTGTTCTTTTATTTCTTTGTTGGATCTTGATCATCTCACTAGTGTGAATTCTAAGAAGTCAAGGCAGAGCCCCAGTGAGTTCCATTTAGCACCAGAGCAGGGTGGAGGGAAGCATTGTTCATTATTTACTAGAGCTGTGCATTTTATTCCCTATCCCCAGAGATAAGGCCTAACCCCTTCCTTTTTGCAACTAGTATTCTGGGACTTTCTCAGGGTGTGTTTCTTAATATTTTACCTACATTTCCCGTTTCTTAAGGTCATTCCATTCCTTCTAAAAGCTTCCCTCCCTCTACTGCTCCCATGACCTGTTCAGTCTGATGAGTGACCAACCTCTGGACAACTGTGCCAGTTTGAATGACTCTTGGATGTGGTGTCATCTTTCCATGGCTCAGGTTTTTGCTGAGTGTTTTCATTTAGTCTGTGTTTCATATAAAATAGCTCCCTCTTCCACACCTTTGCCAGGTCTGCTGGGAGTAACTCCATCTGCAGAATCCGGGTATATCCTTTAAGGGATAATTTACCTGTGATACTGAGACATCAGTAAAATTACTGATAGCAGCTATGGCCCATATTGCAGATGTTGCCAAGGAATACTCAAATGCTGGAGAAAGGGGCTTGAATCTGGCTTTCAGATGGAAGTAGATTGTTTTTCCATCATGTGCATTCATGGCTGTCCAATACCTTGTATCATGTGTGTTCAGCAAGCTGTGAATGCATATTTATTAATATTGATATATCTCCATGCCTCACCCCAACCTCAGGTATAAAATATACACTCCAAATAATTAAGTAAACTACTGAGCAATGCAAGCAGATTTCTTGAACTATCCATTACAAGACTTCTTGCACCTTTCTCTGATGCATCTGGTTCTGGTCATAGGGAGGCAGAATGCTGGCTGAAAAGTGCTGGCCTTGTCTGGGCTGGCAGGGTTTTTGTGCTCTGGTTTGTTTATGTGTGCTGGGATGTTTCCATGCTGTGTTGGTTTCACTTAGTTGTTTTCTGGTACAGAAGTTCACATCTGAATTTGCTTGCATGCTCTTTCTGTAATTGTTCAGGTCCCTGCATGCCATCATCTGAGCATGAGAAATAGTAATTGTAGACCTAAAGTAAACTCTCTAGTCAGGTGTTTTCTACAAGATACACTTTGAAGCAGGGATTGCCAGATGTCTGTGTGGATTTGCTTGTGCTCCCTTTGAGGGGTGGGGAAGGCTGTCCTTTCATCTTTAACTAACTTCCGAGACTATGACTCCAGTATTTGTTCATTTCTCCCTTCTCTCAATTCTCTATTGCTTGTCCTTGAAAACAAAACCAGTGTGCTGTCCTCTCTATCGCATGACTCATCCCAAGTCCAGTGCAGAATCCAGGTCTATGTCTAATGTGCATCTCTTCTTGCCTTTTGCTTCTTCTGTCTGCTCAGACTCCTGTTCCTGAGCTCTGTTCACAGGCTCATTCAGGAGCTGGAGAGTGGGGAGAGCTTACTGTGGGTTATCTGTAGGTCAGCAGGACTGGGAACTGTCACCAGTCATAAAATTTTGAAAAGATTTATGGATTTTGGTACAGGAACAGCTGCTTTAGAGGAAGGTGCAGTGTTACAGAATAGTTATCTCATTAAAGTTCACAAGAAAAATTTTTATATCTCGGTGCTATGGCTTATTCTCTGTAGTTTGAGGGCTTATCTCACTAACCCACTCTTGTTTAACTCTTTTTTTAATCCTAATACTCTGAGTGGGCAGTGGTCAGACTCCAGCTGACTTGTGCTGATGTGTTTGCCATATGTTTCTGCTTACCTGCACTGTACATATATACCCACATTTACCATTCTCACTTTCTCATTTGTGAGTACTTTTGCACTAGGATACTTATGCATGTCTCTATATACTTGGGCTTGCATGGATTTCCAAGCACCATTGCTTTGTCATCCATAGGGTCTCATGTGCTTTGATTCACAAAGGTGTATATACATGTGCATATTCTCGTGCCTTTCTGAATATTATGTCTTACTCCACAATCTACTTTTTTCCTTTTTCCTCCCCCCCTCCCTTGCAGCACTGATGGCCAGCGTGGAGGACCTGATTATCAAGACTCTAGTTTCTGCTGAGCTGTCCATTGCCTCAGCCTGTAAAAGTTTTCTTTCACATCGTGGCAGCTGCTTTGGTAAGACACTGGGAACATCTTTGTTGATTGCCTGTTGACCACTGTTTGAAACCTCCAGCTTTGTCATGCTGGAGAGAAATGTGCCTACCCTAGTGCAAGGAAGCTGGATACTATTTTGGTTGTTTTGATTTGTTTCTTTTCTCCTCAGCATTTGTTTCTTTTTTCCTCAGCATAGGCCTTGGTGAGGGAAGGGAGCATGAAATCTTAGTTCACCGTGTGTCAGTACCATTGATTAGAGTTTCGTGCAAGAAAAGAAATTAGGATGATGAAAAGGGACTTGAAAATGAACTTAGGGAAGTGCTGGAAAGTTGGTGATTTACTAGTGCCCTTGCAAAGAATAGCTGTGAGTGATTAAACATGTTTTTAGAGCATTTTCTGTTCTCTCTTGAGCCATCTAGCAATGTAGTTTTGCATTTTCCTAGTGCGTGTGAGGATGGGGAGAAGCGGCGTGCAGCAGTGCCTGGAGCGGCGGCGATGATCTGTGCTGGGGCGAGAGCGCCGCGTGGGGGTGTCCGAGGCCGTCCCTGGCAGGAGCTGCACACAGCTATGTGCTGCTGGCAAAGCTCTGGGGAGCTCACTGCCAGCACATGCTGGGACGGGCTCCAGAAAGCAGCGGCTGGTACCGCAGTGTGCCTTCTCCCACTTTCCAGTGGCTGCTTCCCAACCTTCCCTAAAGAGGCCTCCTCCTGCTCCTAGCCGTCCTTCACTCGTGTGGATGCATGCACGAAGATAAAGTCTCAGTCAGGGCTTAAACCAAAGGCCAAAGGCTTGGGCTTTGGCTATCCTGTGTTTAGGTACTGGAACTTATATTTGAACCAGCTGTGACAGGTCACATCCTTTTATGTGGTCCTTGAGTTGCACTTAGATATTGACAATTCTGCAGCTTTCAATACTCCAGCATAAATGCATCTTTGGATATATGGGGGTAATAAGACAGTCAGGAATCAAGGAACCATGACTAATAGGTTGTTCAGTTAACTCCCAAAACTAGCCACCTCTTCCACCGTAATTTCTCCTGACTGACTCTGATGCCTTGGTTCAAAGTTGAAGGACCTGGTCATACATAGGGATTTATGAGTTAGATAATAGTCTCAGTGAAATGGCACTGTATTGCCTAGCTGAAAAAAAGGCACATCAAAACCACTTTAGCTGCCTCTTTTTTTGGCTTCTCCCTTTTCCTTCCTCAGTTGTGTCTCTAGAGCTGTATATATGGAAACTAATGTTCCTCATGTACTTTCTGCTGGGCCTGGCTCTGAGGTTATCCCACTTCCTGCTGCATCCCCAGGGCTGTACTAACCACCCTCTCAGATGCTCCCCCACAAATAAACTGTTTTGTTCCATTTATTTCAGTGTAAACATAAATTAAGAGCTTCCCAGGAAAGAGAGCTTAAGTAGGAGCCATACTGCTTCCCTAGGGAGACTTAGGCATTTCCAGAGCTCAGTACTTTCTACCACCTTCCCCCACAGTTTAGTGGTGGTCCTTGTCTCTAGGATTTGAACTTCCATCATGCTGTATGGTTAATTTGTTATCTGTGTGTCTTGTTCTGACACTTTTTGGTTGTACAGCTTTTAACTTTGTTGTAAATACTCAGTTTTTCTATCTGGAAGCATTCATAATGGTTCAGCTCATAGCTGTTAGCATGAAGGAGAAAACTAGGAATGAAGATTTTAAGGCAGCATGTAGAATCTCACAAGAGCTAGGTTTTTGGGGTTTTTTTTGGTTGGTGTTTTTATTTTTTTATTATTTTTTTTTCATTCTGAGCTGTGAACAATGAAACTGAGTGTGTCCTAAGAAGGGCTGATCATGTGAAAAGTATCTCAGACTTTAGAAACCTTTATTTGAAATTCAGATGCAGAGATTGGGTATTGTTTGAAAAACTTTTAAAAAAATACAACTAAATTGTTTTTCACTCTACAGTTTGTAATGTTGTAATACGGAATAGAACTCCTGTACAATTGCCATTTACTTCTTAAAAATTAAATCATGAGTACTTATTTGTCCAGATGAGGTTGCGCACTTTATTTCTCTAATAGTTTAATACTGCTGTCGTCCTTCAGTTCTTTCACAAGTAAGTGTTTTTTATATGTAATACACTTGTTTTCTAGATTTAAATTAAGACAATTTATTCATGGCTTCTTCATTTTCTAAGATAACACTAGTGAGACGGGCTGATTCTTGCTGCCAGTGCTTGCCCAGAAAGTGAGAGTGGTAGCTCAGAATGGTTCTTTTTCTAATGTCAAAAAATAGTGCTGGTGACAGTTTGTGTAAACAGTGTAGTGAGTTCCACTTTGGCCATGTAATGTGAGCTATTTACTGCATTCTAGTAATAATCAGTTTTCAAAAGACTTGGGATTCTCAGTTTTGTTCCTCTGAAGTGCATCACAAAAGCACTGCAAGTACTGCATGATTTTGTTGCCTTGTTCATGCATTGTTATTAACAAAGTGTAATCCAAGACCTCTGTTTTGTCCTTTATGATTAACTAATAATTCCTTATGTAAAATTAAGTTCCTAATAAAAATTATTTTAACTAGTAAGCAACTCCAGAGGAGGGCATGTTGCTGGCTTCCAAATCACTGCACTGTCCTGAAGCTGGTCACCAGCTGAGTGGGTGGTTACCTCTGGAGCCTTCTTTAAGAGAAATACAGATTTTGCACTTTTTTAGGGATGTGACATCTCATTGTGGGAACAGGAGGTACAGTAGGGCTGCATATGCCCAAGCTGATTATAGGCTGCGTCTTTCTTCCGCCTGAAGTAAGCACTTCTGGGTAGGCTAGAAAAGGCAGTAAGGCCTGCTTTCAGGCAGAATGGAGAATCTCCCTGTGGGATGGTTTAATAGGGTATGAAATGAAGGCAGCTGGGTGCAGCACATATTTTTGCCAGCAGCCAGTGTAGCACCGTTTTCTGCACTCACTGAAATGTGAGCCTAAAGAAGCAGCAGACTGAAGTCCTCTTGTTTCATTCACATTCTAGTAAACCCAGCTGTGACACTGTTGAGCTTGTCTCCAATCAAGAAAGCAGGCCAGGATAGGGCAATGGGCATACTGATCCCACCAAAGCAATGAGTTTCTTATTTAGCTGTTTCTGTGTCCTAAGGCTGAATTGGTCAGGCTTTTGCTTCTAATCACATCTATGTTGAGATAAAAGTAAACAATAAACTATTGTATGACTTGAGTGGTGCTGACCTGGAGCTAAATGCTGTAAAAAGTCTTCATTTGTGCCGAATCACCAGTTTCTCAACTGCCTATGTTGCTGTTCTTCATGAACATCTAACTTTCTTAGTGGTGGCAGTTGACCTATTTGGGGGAAGCCTTTTGTAGTTTTGAATGGTGCTGACCTGCTCCATTATGACTTTTGCAGGGCACTAAGAGTTTGAGATTCTTAAGGATTTTCTGTATACACTTGATGTGAGGCAGGTCCATGCTTAGTCACTTAAGTCAGCCATACATATACCATGTATATTTCTTGTTTTTCTGTTTTCTTACATGACATGTCACAGAAAAGCTAAACAGGGATTTCCTGTTACCATTACCTTTTTTTTTGCAAAGCTTAATCCATTCTATTTTTATAGCCTTACTGTCAATCTTTGCTTTGAAGCCAGTGTGTAAAGATGCCATTGGAATCTGAAAAAGGTCATCCATAGAATCATCTGGCTACAAGCAGATTCAGGAGGTCTGTACCCTTCAAGACAGGTGTTTTGATGATCTCATGGGCAAGGTAAATTTTGTAATGTAACTATATCTTCAAATTTAACTAAACTGTCAGCTGAGCCTGAAGGGATGAGTTGAAGGGATAGGTCTTTAGTTATAGCTTCTATAGGAACAGGGGGTCTATCCCTCCACCGTTTTTCTTACTTGTCACTTCATTGCTCTAAATGGTGCCTATCTGATACTGATGATTTAGTACCCAGAGCTTGATTGAAAGATTCAAGATCCCTGTTGCTGGAAAAACTTTCTGTTTCTTTAGGAAGTTGTTCTTAGCTTGCTAGCAGCAGTTTTCTTTCTCAGAAGGCTGGGGAAGACCTAAAAAGCTTTTATGGCTGTTTTTGGAAGACTTAGGAAATGACCAGCACTGTCAATTTATCATCAATGGACTTGTGTTACAAGAGTCAGAATCAACTCTGGCTTCGCATTCTATCTTCTGCTGCCACTGGTTCCTGTGGTGGCATTAGGGTCTTCACCAGATAGATGACATGAAAGTGGGGAATGCTAGGTTATTTTTGTCTCATGGCTTTCTTGGTGCTGAGGTTCTCAGAGTGTAAGAGCTTGAAATTAGATGAACTTGGGCTAATGAGGTTGGGAAACATGCTCTCTATCCTTCACCTCATGTATCCATCTATAGAGTCAGATAGCTTTTATTTTGGTCTACCTAGTATTATATTTTGTTAATTTGGGCACTTGAGTTTGTTGGGGACTAAGTATCTGTATATCTACTCTTACTTTCCTCAGTGCTGTAATGGAAGTTAAGTGATTACCTGAAGTGGTTACTCTGATATTAACTCTTTGCTTACTCTGGTATCATACACTGGATGAACAAGTTTATACCTTGTGGGTGATAATTTATTTACTCAGTAAGATGAGGGTTATAAAGGCAGCCCAATTTGCACCAAGGCTCCCATTCTTTAGTGTTAGCCTTGAAGGTGGTCTTATTAACTTTACTGCCTTCAGAGCTGAAGGATTATTCTGAATCTGATTTTGGTATAGATGATGAGCTAAGCTCAGCTGTAGTCTTCATCAAAGCAAGAAGCGGTTTATCTGGAAGGAGAACAACCAAGTTGGTGAAAGGTCTTGAGGGCAAGAGTGATGAGGAGAAGCTGAGATTGCTTGGTGTGTTGATCATGGAGGGGGCTGAGGAGTGACCTTAGTTCAGTCTATAACTACCTCAAGGAGAGCAGTGGATGGGGATGTACTGATCACTTCTTTCTGGTGACCAGTGATAGGACACAAGGAAGTGGAATGAGGCTGCATCAGGAGTTCAGGTGGGATGTTAGGAAACATTTCTTCATGGGGTGGGTGGTTAATCAGTCATTGGAACTGGCTCCCCAGGGAAGTGAGTCCAGTACAAATCCTGTCCAAATTCAAGGAGTGTCTGGATGATTCCTTACATCATATGGTTTAGTCTGAGGTAGTCATGTGAGGAGGAGTTGGACTCAGTCAGCCGTATGGGTTCCTTCCAACTTAAGTTACTCTCTATGTACGTACTTTGAAATTAATCCACTTTTGAACACTTTTATTGAGAACATGAGTAACTGTCCTTCAGGCTTCAGTAGAAGTAAAGAAGGTTCTCTGCAGAGAAGTGTTCTTATGGGTGATGGGCTTTCTCTGGTTAGCTGGAGTGCAGAAAGTGCCTCAGAGTGGCGGAGTCACACATTTGGCTGAGCTAGCATGAGAGATTCTGGCTGGTGCACACTGCATCTCATGAAGTGGGCAAGAACACAAACATGTGGAATAATTTTGTCCCCTCTTGTGGGGTTCTTCTCTGTAACAGCATAGAGATGAAACCTTTCTCTGTTAAAATAAAGTTCTCTTAAAAAGGGAATTAAACCTTAATATAAGAACAGAAAGAGTAGGAAGGAAATATGGAAGACTTGAATTTCAGTGGCAAAATTTCTTTGCTTTAGAATGTCTGTAAATATACTCCTACATAAAACCAGGAGATGGGTTTTTATTGCAATATCAAAAGAATTATGTGCTGTGCAATTTTTTTCCTTGCTGTTTGTGTCCTTTCATAACTTCAGGTTGTCTCCATTTAGTTGTAGAGTATGTACTTTGCAGTAAAGCTTTTTTTTTTCCCCCAGGGAGCAAGCTGCAAAGAAAGACGAGAATTACAGTGACCCTTTAAGAACTGAGCTTATTCCTGCTATACAAAATAGTGAAAAATTTGTTTATGCTACTGTGCTATCACCTATGATTTAATTTCTATACTTACAGAGAATAAGAAATTCTTTGGGGATATTTTGTAAAAGAGAGTGCTGGTGCAGTCTTGGAGAGGATTATAAGAGAAACTTGGAATACATGGGAGTTTACCAGAACCAAAAAGCCTGAGACTATCTCTCTAGCCTTTTTCTTAGTCTTAGATAATGTCACTGGTGAAAAAAGCCTCTGGCTGAACTGTTGCTGTTAGAGTGCACTCTGAAGCTAGGCTTTCTTTTGGGAGGATGGGAAGCTCCATCAGCAGTGACTTCTCTTTGGGGATTAGAGGAGGAAGAGGCCAGCTGTTCCTGCGAAGTCTTGGAAGCAGTTGGTACCTCCTGATATAATTCCAGTCTTTAGCAAACTGCAGGAGTGAAACATGTTTTTGTGGATTCTAGTAGCAAGAGAAGGCACTATGGAAACTTGATGTCTTAGTTTCTTCTGTTCTTCCCTTAGTAACAATAGTGGCACTAGGTGTCTTGTTGTGAACCTGCCATTGCCACAGTATGAGGCATGTTTTGCTTTCAGTTGTTCTCTTTACTCCCTCTGCAGAGAGAAATGGCAGTCTTGCTGAAGTTGGTAATTGCAGAGGATATACTTTTGATTATTCCATATTTGTATGACTCCACATCTTTGTCCTGCCTGTGTATTTATTTTATCAAGCAGTAGTGGAATTTCACAGTGGAAAGGGTACTACATCTACAGTGTTTTATCTAGGAAGTACATTTTCCAAATGTGGAGGAGGGCCAGCAAGATATTTCTAGGTAAGCTTCTGACTGTTGAGCAGATCTTTGTGCTAAGCCCTGTGTGGAATCTGTGAGGCTTGATTTAATTGCCAGAACATGGATATTACATAGCTCCTGATGCCCTGAGGTAGCAGAGACCTCTGTCTAGAGCTTGTAAGTATGACTCAGAATATGTGAAACTTGGGGCATTATGGAGCAGCAGTGGAGACCCTAAGTCATTGCAAGTGGCTTTAGAATCCCTGCTTAGCAATGGAATTGAGTCAACAGGAATACCCCAAAGAACTTATTCTCCTAAGAAATAAAGCAGACACAAGGGAAAGGAATGTGAAGCTCCAGCAGCTTGGTTAGAGCTAGTTGAGGTCGAAAGGTTTCCCATGTGTATTTGAAAAAGTGGACAGAATGAGTAACTGGGTGGGAAAGATGGAGCTTTAAAAAGAGCAAGCAATTGCAAGAGAATTGTGTGGGAGAGGAGAACAAAGTCAGAGGAGCCAAAACACTAGGAAAGGGCCTCTGAGGGGCCAAGGAAGGGAATGGCCAGCAACAAAAGAAGCAGGAGCTAGTCAAAACAAAATATGCTGCTTCCTGACTGGGGCTGGGAGGTTGCAGTCCAGCAGCTGCTGCAGGCCCACTCATTGCCTCTCTGCCTTGGGCATGAGCTGCTGAGTTTTCTGTGCTTCACCAAACTTGAGATTGTATTTTAAAATAACATATTAGTCATCAGAAGTTTCTTCTGGTCAAAATGCTTTGCTAATCCCCGCCTTCTCCTTTTCCCTCTACTGCAACCATTCCTGTCTGGGGAGCAAGAGAGCAAAATGTAGATTCAGCCTCATTTCTTTGGAGTGAACCAACTCTTTAACTCTCTGCTGTTTTGTTTCCCGTTCAATGTCTGACTACAGGCTCTAGAAGAATGAGCAGGCAATGCTCACTCTTCTGCCATTTCCCCCCTTCCAAGCCTCCCCCCTGCCTCAGCTCATTAACTTCCCATTATAAGCTACATGAGCTTTTGCACAGCTGTCTGCATAGGAAGATCTTGTCAAGTGGTCCAGCTCCCCAGAGCCAGCATCAACGTCAGGCAGGCGACAAAAGGCCAAGGCCAGAATTCAAGGAAAGAAGTATGGCAAAGAAGTTCTCCTCCATTTATTTCAGGCACTAGGGGAACTGGTTAATTCTATGAAAATCCTTCTCTGCCAATACCCTGTTTTGTGATGTTTTTTAAAAAAAATTGCTTAAGTTGCCCTGATGATTAAGTCTGTTTTTTAATGCTGGAAGAAGGAATTGCATTAATGCCAATTTCTGATTTACGCTCAACTTTGTGTAGCATCCTTCTTGCAACTCTTTCCAAACTAGAGAAAATGTGTATAGAGAGCAAAATAGTAAAATCAGATTTGGAATGAGAAGCTGGCTTCAATCTGACCTGTGTAGAGCAGAACATATCTAGCAGATGTAATATGTTATGAATGTTTTAGAAACTAAGGAAAAAATATTTCTGTTGTGGTTTGCTGCAAAGTGGCAAGCTGTCAATAAGCTAAAAAGTTATAGGGGGTTGTCCATGTATAGACTGGCCGAGGAGAAATCTGCTGTAACCCTATGGTTGCAGCAGAAAACATACAGGAATACTTGAAAAGAAGCTGATGCTTGAAAGAAGCAAGATTTTCTCTAGCTGACTGAAACAATGAATAAAGGGATTAAAAAGTGGAAAGCAGAATGAAGTTTTGTTGTTTCTGGGATCCAGTGGAAGAAGTAGATTGAACCTGCTATGCTAATTCTGTGAGAAAGCAAATAGTAAGAGTTCTGTGTGAGCTACAGCTTGTGGACTGTAAAGAGTTTTTTATTTTTCTATATAATACTTCCTAATGTTTTTGTTCCCCTCTTTCCCCCACAGGCAGAATGTATTTAAGTTTGGTTCTGAGGAAGTCAAAGTTGCCACTTGAGGAATGTTATTATTTGTTCATCCCTAGAGAGTTTACTGGATTTAACATATATAATTTAGACAGAAATGACCTGGTAGAGACTAATGTTGGACCTTACCTGAATGCTTAAAGATGAAGTAAGGTGAGCTTACTTAAGTGTCTGCTGTGTTTTCAGAGCTATATGGTTTTGATGTCCTTATTGATGACACTCTGAAACCATGGCTGTTGGAAGTGAACCTGTCCCCATCATTGGCCTGGTAAGTGATTCCCAATTTAATGAGACAGGGACTGTTGCTGGAGATGGTTGTCCTTGAAACTTGTGGTCTTAGGAGGGCATGATTTCATGATGCCTGCAGATTTTGTTCTACAGCTGACTGGCAGAGAGGATACTCCTTTGCTTTTTTCCTTTGGATAAACAAACTTGCTGCAGTAATAGGTTTTGTAAGAACCTGGTTGGGATTCAATTTTCTTTTTACTTTTTCTCTTCCATCATCATTGTTAACACTTCATAATCTCTCATCATAGATAAATTTTGGAGCTCTGTCAGACTATTGTGTTGGATTTCAATCTTCTTGGCTGATAGAAGCTTTAAGATTTTGGAGTCCAAGCAGAGTTCTATTAATTACACTTAATTTGAGTACATATAGGAGTTCTTGGGCTCAGTCTAGTACTCTAATCAGATACATTCTAAAGAGTGAGTGTTGACTTGGCCCTTATGCTGACCCTCATGCTCTAATGGAAATCTAGGATTTATTTTTGTACGTCTCTCAGCTATGATTTTATGTGGAAGAGGCATAGTTAAGTGTGGTTTTTAAGAGTTCTGCAACAGCAACTTTTAACTACTTCATGAAATGTAGCATACATACATTCAAAGAAAATGTTTCTATTCCTAGGGAGAGTTTAAACAAAGTTGTATGTATCTGCATTAGGACACTAAAAGCTGTGGAAAAAGGATAAGCAGATTAATCCATTGCTCTCTGATTTTTACCTGTGTATATGAAAATCACCTGGTTTCTTTTTTTTGCCTGTTTTAAGAAGGCAAAGAAACTGTATTGGGAGATAAACTGGATACTGATGCATTCCTCTCATTTAATGCCAGACAAATAATTCCTATTGTACTCTATTGTATGTGGGGACAGTGATGCTCCTTTGGACCTGAAGATCAAAGCTAGCATGCTCTCAGATATGTTCACTCTTGTAGGTGAGTAAAACAAAAAAAAAATCCTTCCATTTTTCCCTCATTTAAAACCAGTAGAAGGTAGGTTTATGAGCTGCATGTTGCTAGATGAGTATAAGGGAGGTGAACTCTTGTTAAGGAGAGCAGCACTCTGCTGTATTTAGCACTGAGAAGTGATATATGGACATTTCAACTTCAGAATAATTACCTGTTTGTGACGGTTAGGTGGTTTTAAGAGTCCCTGATTTGGTATTTGAAGACACAGCTCTTTCTTTAGCTTTCATAGTTAGTATTCATACATTTTTTAGGTTGAATGTGTGCATTTTGATTGGGTTACTAGAACTGGAGTACTGTCTAGAGCACAGTGTCCCTTGTGTCTCGATTTAGTTGCTTGATGCAATTTGCCCCAATAGTGAAAGAAGTAGAATTGTCATCAGGTACCCTGCTCAGCTGTTTAAAAAAACAAGTCTATCTCTGTGCTGCTATACAGTGACCCATTTATAGATTTAAGTACTTGGTCCTGAAGCAAGTTTTTATTAAAAAAATGTAATGCAGTTACAGTTTAGGATTAAACAAAGCAAGGTATAAAAAAGAAAAGCATCCTTATTGGTCCTTGGGCAGGGACAAGAAGGTCATTTATAGATTAAGATTGTGAACAGGAATGCTAGATTTATATTTCAGGGTTTGTCTATCTTAAAGTTCTCACGTGGCTCTTGGTGCCCGTAGGCTTTGTATGCCAGGATCCAGGCCAGCGGTCAAGCCGGAACATTTATCATTCATCTGAATGTGTCAAAAGAAATCCATATCAGAAGCTTCAGGTAAGTGACCTTTACAAGTCCTGGCTGAGAAGCATAGGAGGAAGTTATTCTCACTGAATTTGATTCACAGGTGAGAGAGGCAGTGAGCAAGATGATCTGGATTTCTAGCATAACTACAGAAGATGAAATTTTTAACTGTGGGGGGTGGTGAGGCACTGAAACGCATTGCCCAAAGAGTTTGTGGACTCTGTATCCCTGGAGGTGTTCAAGACTAGGCTGTATGGGGCTTTGAGCACTCTGGTCTAGAGTGGAAGCTTTCCTGCTCAGGGGAGGGGGGTTGGATCTAGATGACCTTTAAGGTCTTTCCAACCTAAACCATTCTGTGGTTCTCAGGGGCTCGGGGGATACGCCTAAGAGTTCCGGGCTGTTCAACCATTTTGATTTTGTTGTGGACGGCAAGCTTCCAGAAACCTAGAGCATTATGAATGTCTCCAAGACATCCTCCTAGATGAACAACTTCTTGCACTTGAAGTTTAAGGCTTCTTTCCCATTCTCTTTTTGGAATCTCTCTTTCCCATGGATCGTTAGACTGAGGCCTCATGTGGCTTGCTGTGACTGCCCCTTGCCTTCTCTGTTGAGTTAGTGCTTTCTCAGCATTGTAATGTTGAAGGGCAGTTGTTCTCTATCTCCTTTTGTCTATGAAGTGGATTCCATAAATATCTGTGGAAATGGAGCATTCACAAAAGGCAGGGAGATGTGTTACATCACTTGGACTTTCAACTCATTTCTCCTAAGGCAAATAGGCAGGCGCTGCTCTCTGACATCTCACCAGCTAATGGTGCTGTGACGGACATGCAACATAGCTGTGTAGCTCAAGTTCAGTTAGGAAATGACAAGTAATTTTTGTTTAGTGACAGTGTACCAAGACACTGTCCATTTTGGTATAGGGAAAACTCACAGAAATGGCAATACTTTGTCTCTTGTAAAACTTAGAGTCTTTAGTCACCGTGAGAGGTGAATAGCTGGTAAGATGTGATTTGAGTATCTTTAGGATGCATGTCTGAGTCTGAAACTTCTAAGACAAATATAATAGTGCTTTAAATACAGATCCCTCTGTATAGGTGCTCTTTGCAGCAGACAAAAGGCACATGAGATAAATTAGGAACCATTCCAAAAAAAGTACCCTTCTTTCTTAGAGTAACGTGATCAGATCCTGATGATTTGAAAAAATGATATAAGACAGAAAATTATGCTGTTGTAAAGCACTGAATTTTAAGGAGGATTTCAACTTCGTTTTGCTTAACAAATACCCACAAAGAGATGTAAGGCTGGCTAGTTGAAAAGTGCAAAGATTTGTATGAAAGTGCATTGATGATGAGATGGGATTAGGGTGCTTCCACCAACCTGTGTTTAACAGGAACAGGTTTGTAATCCAGTGATAAAGTTTTATAGCATTTTTTTCTTGAGTACCTAAATGGAAATCCCATGACTAAATAGGTGTTTAGGTCTTTCCGTGGTCCCAGAATGTCTTAGCTTGTTCTTTGCTGAATACATTTTATCTCAGATTCTTGGATTTTTTGATCCCTGTTCCAATTCTCTGTTGTAAAAGGTATTTGTAACCTCTTTTGTTTTTCCTACCTCCTTCATGATGTCTTTTCATTCACATAGGCCATTTTTAATCATTGTAAAAGTTGCTGCTTGGAGAAGAACTGTTGGTAACAGTGCTCTTGAGAGTTCTCTTGAATAACTAACTTGATATGGTTATTCTTTTTTCTGAGTTTCAGCATCTGGACTGCAAGTTTCTTGTGCAGTTTCTTTGGTTTGACTCTTGGAGCATTTCTCCCTCTAGGGAAATGGACAACTTAGCTGCTTCCTTTGTAATTCTTGTTGATTTAGGTTGGAGATCTTTCAATTAATTGCAAGCAATGAAGGGACCTTGATCAGTTTTGAATAGACCAAAGAAAAGAGTAGAGAAGGACTTGTCAGTATTACAGCTAGAAATGATAGATAAGTCTCCCGAGAACACTTTCTTACACCATTTGCTCCTCTTGGGTGTTGGACAGGAGTAAGACAGCCTGAATACCACTGAAGGCAAGAAAAATCTAAGTTCCAATGATGATTTATTTTATTTTGAACCAGTCCCTGTTCTTAACTGGTTTTACTTGTAGGCCTGATACCAGAATAGTAATACAGGGTAGTTCTTGACATTCTGATGTTTCTACACCTGTGTTAGAATGTTAAATAGTATCTTGTTTCTCCATAAGAACTAGAATATTGTTGAGATATTTAAATGAAATTAAATTGCAAAATTACGGGATTTTTACTTTCAC